GAGGGATGGTGGATGAGAGATGAGGAATGAGACATATATTTTCAGGCATGCCCAATGTGTGGATTTATTTTGCTTGATGATCCCTATCTGTATTTCTAAGGGAGGGTTTCTATTGGGGGATTTGGTGGGTAAAGATAAGAATGCAAAGAAAAGAAGAAAAGAAAAGTGCATCAATAAAACAAAAAATACTCAGAGAAGTTTAGAAAATACAGACAAGTTGGGCAGTTTGGTTTTCATGATGTTAAATTTAATGCAGACTTTAAAAAAACAACACAAGTTTACAGATTCATATACAATCCTTTCTTGTTTTGCATATTTAAATGTTCACATTTGTTAATTTTGTAATAAAAACTTTTTTTTTTAAGATAATGCAACTTTAGCCTGCACTGAAAGAAATATATGGTCAAGACTAGAGTTGTGTGCTCTTGGTCAGGTAAGATGACATCTGAGCTTTGGCTCTCGCTGTTTGTCCTTCGTTCTCGAAGAGCACAGTGACATCAGGGAGGTCATGCCATGACTTGTAAGTGAATTGGATTACAGTGAGGGAGGGCTGTGCAGAGTCACCAGCCTCACTGTCTCCTCCAGAGCCATCTGGGTCCAATGGCCAGATATGGATCAGGATGACTGGAAATGGTCCCTTTCTGCTACTTCCTCGCCCCATTAAAGGCTAATGATCAGGAGAGTGGCTTGAACCTCAAACTTCCTTTCCTTAGACTAACTATATTTGGAGCGCAGGGACAGATAGCTATCATTCTAGCCCAGTGACCCCTCTTTGAGGATAGCAGAGTAGCTAGCTTCATGGCCCAGTCTGCTTACTCCGCTCCTATCAAAGCCTCCCTTAAAGGAGGATGAGCAGAGGTGACTCCAGAGACATCCATTTATGCTTCTACTTCAGTCACATCCAAAAAAATACCTGTGAACATTCACCAACTACACGGACACAAAACACATACACAAATCCTGTGCTTTTGATGACTTCTCCTCTTAGATACTCTACTTTAATGTGAAGTCTGGGGGGAGGTACCTTTTCCCTCCCCACCCACCCCAACCCACCCGACCTGTTCAGGGTCACAGACCTAGCGTGTGAGGTTGAACTTGCACTCAAGTCTTGCTGACTCCAGGCCAAGTGCTCAATCCACGGTGCCCCCGTGCTGCCTCAGAGTTAACACCCCACTTTACTCCCTGGTAAGCCGCTATCTGGAAGACTGGGTTCAGTTTGAGGCAACACATACTTGGAAAGATATTGACGATTGGAGGTGTCCTGAGGGGGGGGAATGAGTTCGAGGAAGGGCCTGAAGATCATGCCATATGAAGGTCATTTGGGTGTTTGTTCAGGCTGGAGAAGGGAAGACAAGTGGAGATATGGTGCATGGAAGAGTGATTCCATTTGTGCTGCCCGGCCCAAGAGGGCAGAGCTAAGAGCCATAGGTGGAAGAGGTGAAGAGACAATTTTAGATTTGTTGTACAGAGACCCTCATCACAATCAGAGCGGTCTGAAAGTTGCAGAAGCTGCGTGACCGTGTTTGGTACGTCACAGAGTGGCTGGACTGGATGGCCAGAGGTCTGCCACCTCAGAAAGTGTGGGAGTCTGTGTTCTCCTCTGGCTCTCCTTCCACCTGTCCAGGTGCACCTTCTCAGTTTCCTTCGTGAGGTCATTCTCTTTTCTCCTGATGCCTTAGCAGAGTTTTCTTAAGGATCTGTCCATAGACACACCTCTCTCCCTCTCTCTCTCTGTCTCTCCCCTCCCCCCTTCTCTGTCTCTGTCTCTCTGTCTCCATACATACACACACTCTCTCTCTCTCTCTCTCTCTCTCTATATATATATATATACACTCATGCACACTCTCTTTCTCCACACACACACACACACACACACACACACACACACACACACACACACAGTCTTAGAGACCTCATCAGCTCTCAGGGTTTACAAGCATCTTGAGGGGTGGAACTGCTCCTAATACAGTGCCTTGTACTGGGCAGTCCCCGAGTCAACGCTGGTGGAATTGAAGTTGTGGAATGGGCACAAGACTCAGCAGCATTTGGCCCCCTCAGTCCTCACCTCTCTCCAACCTCATCAGCTGCCTGATGGGTACCTCTTCCTGGATGTCCCAGAGGTATCTCAGCTTCAACAAACCACCCACTATCCTCTCACTCCCTGAGGTTTACACCCCCCCGAGTCAAGCCTGCTGCTTCCATCCTCTCACCTCCACACCCAATCAGTGGCCAAGTCTTCCATCTTCTCTTCTTCCCTCTGTTCCACACGAGTCAGGACCATCATTCCCCCTTGTTTCCCTTCCCTCCTCTTCCCAATCCATCAGAGTTCCACAGTCCTCTCCCTGTGGCCAAGACTCTGCCCCTGCCCCCTGACCTCAGTGGCCCTGAGTTGGCCCTAAGTAAAACACAGCCTCTGTGGCCGGGCACCGGGACCCCTCCCCAGCCATTCTGAGGCCCCCCCATGCCTGGAGGGCATGCCCTGCTCAACCCTGCACCTGGGATTCTGACTTTCCTTCAAGATTCAGCCCCAGCGTACCCTCTCTTCATGGAAAACCTTTCTGGATCTAGGTTTGAATCCTGGTTAGCCCTACCAGCCACTACGCCGAGTTAACTTGGGCATTCTGGACATCAGTTTCCTCTTTTAAAATCCCAGGATGCCCCTCCTGGTTAGCGGTCTCTCTCTCTTTCAATTATCTTCTGCATGCCAGTCTGTGTACAGGTGGTAACCCTGCCCCCACCCTGCAGAATGTCAGCTGCCTGACAGCTGGGGCTGGTTCATTGTTACAGTAATACACCACCACTGTGGGGTAGGAACTCTACAACCCATTGTACAGATACCCGTGTAAACTAAGGCTCCTCGAGGGGTGAGCCCACGGTCACACAGAGAGAAAATACTTGTCAGAGGCCAGATCTGACCCCCTGCCTCAACAGCTCCCACTCTATCTACCAAACCATACTCCCAACTTACAGTTTAATAAGACATGAAATAATGATGATTATACTACCCCATATTATTGGAAAAGTACCATCTTTGGCCACATCTAGTCTCCCAGCCCATTAGCTACTGAGGCCCACAGAGCTGAAGGGACTTCTACAAGGTCACACAGGTAATAGGTAAAAGAGATGAGCGGGGATTCTAATCCAGGTTCTCTACTTAGAGAAAGGTACCATCCCATGTGCTGACACTCCCTGTTCTAAGGCCCCACCCAGCCCTGACATTCTCTGTTCTAAGTTCCCTCCCAGCCCTGACATTCCCTGTTCTAAGTTCCCTCCCAGCCCTGACATTCCCTGTTCTAAGTCCCCTCCCAGCCCTGACATTCCCTATTCTAAGGCCCCTCCCAGCCCTGATATTCCCTGTTCTAAGTTCCCTCCCAACCCTGACATTCCCTATCCTCAGGGCCCTCCCAGCCCTGACATCCCTTGTCCTCAGGCCCCTCCCAACCCTGACATCCCTGTTCTAAGGCCCCTCCCAGCCCTGACATTCCCTGTTCTAAGGCCCCTCCCAGCCCTGACATCCCTGTTCTAAGGCCTCTCCCAACCCTGATATCCTCTGGTCTAAGTTCCCTCCCAGCCCTGACATTCCCTGTTCTAAGTTCCCTCCCAGCCCTGACATCCCTGTTCTAAGCTCCCTCCCAACCCTGACATTCTCTGTTCTAAGCTCCCTCCCAGACCTGACATTCCCTGTTCTAAGGCCCCTCCCAGCCCT